TGTGTGTGTGTGTGTGTGTGTGTGTGTGTGTGTGTGTGTGTGTGTGTGTCGTGTGTGTGTGTGTGTGTGTGTGTGTGTGTGCGTGTGTGTGTGTGTGTGTGTGTGTGTGCGTGTGTGTGCGTGCGTGTGTGTTCGTGCGTGCATGCGTGCGTGTGCTTCATGCCTATAACTAGAACTATCACTGATAGTGATTAATACCCTCGCAATATCACTTTGTCGGAGGGGCAATGGAAGGTCATGGTGTGGCATGCATTACGAGTAAAGAATACACGGAACACAAAAAATATGATGGAATTAAAATCTTTTCGCAATGGCTGGGGTATAATCAAAGATGGGATACGGTTTCCATGGCAACGGCTTGACCGATGCACACAAATAATGTGTCACGTTTACACATTTACACCTCATGGTGATCAAGTTTATGAAGTTTGATTGGAATCCCTTGAAAACTGTGGAAGTAGTGCGTGCCGCAAACTTTTTGCAAAGGACCGACCGATCGTAAGACTCCTATATATACCCCTTCAAACATCGTTTGCGTGGGTATAATAATGCTCCAGATGTTCATAGTAGCAAGCAGTCATTCACCGGCCAGCACTATGTCACTTTCACGCCCCAGCACCCCACCCTACTAGTATACCACCACTACCATTACCAAGCTCTCACTCACTACTACGCCCACATCAACCTTCTCAGTCCAAGCCCACTACCAACACCATGCCCATTGGCAACCCATCCAATGCCGTAACTACTTGCGTCATCGTGGTTGGACACATGATGAACGAACATTTAAAGATAATTTAATAGAATGACATGCCGATCAAACGAAAACCTGGCTCATTGTAAGAGATTCGATTACTAGTGGGAGAAGCCAAAGCCGTACTACTAAACGGTACAACACGACCTTAGGACCTAGGATTTTAAGGATGGATATGGGATTACGCTTCCGATTATGGTTGGGTTAAGGATAAAGAGGAGTATATATAAAGAGGACTTATAGGAGTAAGAATAAAGTTAGGTTACGGTATGGATAAGGTGATGCTGATAATTTATGTGCCCGAGTACCAAAGTGTATTATCAGTTATTAGAGTACCACTCACAGCACCCAGCACACGTTTCCACTCACCCGTCTAAGATACCTGCTTGTATGAAATTGCTGTCTCCGTGTCTCCCTCGCTCTCCTGCCCTCGTTCCGACTCTCGGTGTATCTCTCGTTCTGTCGCCGTCCACGTTTACAAGTTCATGCGGACGTAATGCTCGCTCGGCTGTTACTAACAGCTGAGAGTGTCCCACGCCATCTCTATTCTGTACAGATGAAGAAGACACACATTAATATCCAACTCTCTTGAGTCACGATCCTGATCAACTATAGTGGGAAGCAAGCAGACATACGAGCAGGCTGTCACCAGCTACCGCCCCATCCCCATTACCTGCTCTCCGCATCAGTACTAAATTTAGCCAAAGCCATTTCCTCCAGAGGACAGGCTGGTAATTTCACCCCAGTTTTAGACGCGCACGGTCGTGCAATGCCGCGGTGCCCGCGACACGCGGGTAACGAGAGTCGGGGACAGTCTACGGGCATCATTATTAATCAGTTTGCTGGCAGGTAGGTGAGGATGCCTACGCGGGTGCTGCTGCCGCGCCTGGCGTTCTATGCCTGCATTAACAGACAACCACCCACCCGCGGCTCCGTCACGGCCCGCCGGACAAGCACAATGGCTCCTCCACTCCTCTCTCTCTCTCTCTCTCGCTCTTTCTAACTAGCAGTTTTATAGCACAGGATGCAGCAGACACGCTCGGAGGGATGCTAAGATGGTGGAGACCGAAGGCTGATGGGATGCTGTGACGCGATTGATGCAGCCACGCTAACCACGAGAGATGCAGCCACGCTGGGGGCGAGGGATGCAGCCACGCTGGGCACGAGAGATGCTGCCACGTTGAGCAGCAAGGGATGATGTGATGATAAGGGCACTGCGTAAGGGATGCTAGGATGCTGGGCTATTAGGCCACCGCACCACCTTACGAGTGACGCAGGTTGATGGGGGAATCTGGGCAGCGAGAAGCGAAAGGGAGAGAATCGCCCCGCGGCACTCGATGCAGCTACGTTCGCAT